AGCGGTCCAAAATTTGTCCGTTCTGACTTCTAATTATTTTTGTACAAATGACTATATTGATCTTCCAAACAAGGTACGGTTGACCGGACTAGTTTTCCACAAATACATATTTTTTTCTCGTTTTTGAACTCTATAAATATCCTCACTCTTTACATTCTTCACAAGATTTCAAAGTGAAATACTTTTGTTTTAAAAAAATTTTGAACTTTCATTTGCATTCATTTCATTTGTTTCTTCATACCAAAAATTTTGATTGATTCAAATTCATTAATCCTCATTCTCATCAAAATTTTCCATATTTCTTTGTGTTTAGTTTATTTATATCATTCTTAAAAAAGTGGTATATTCTTGAAAAAGGTATTTGCACTTACATTGCAGAAATCTTTCTACTTCTTCATATTGAAAAACTTTGATTGTTGAATCAAATTTCTTGAATTATTTGCTCATCAAAGTTTTTCATATCTCTTTGTGCTCAACTCATTTATATTAATTTTCATAGAAATACATTCTTGAAGAAGTTTTTTGAACTTATATTGTAGAAACTTTTCAACTTCTTCATATTGAAAACTTTGATTGATCGAATCAAATTTGTAAAATTATCATATTCATCAAAATTTCTCATTTCTCTCTTAGCACTTGATTTATTATAATCATTCATTAAAAAATAGATATTTCTTGAGGAGATTATTTGAATTTACATTGCATTTAATTGTTCTTATCTTTTCATTGAAATTCTTTGATTGGTTGAACTTAATATTTAATTGTCATTTTCATCAAAAATTTTCATTTAACACTTGAGCTATCATTTGTTTTAATCTTTCTTAATACTTCATTTGTTTTGTATTATTTATCAAGAGATGATTTGATTATAAAATCACTTTGATAAAGTATGGGTCGTGTTGAGGTCCCGAAAAATTCAACATTGTCCAAGGATCGATTCTCCTTATTGTAAGTCATCGTGTGGGTCATATTGAGGCCCTGTAAAGCTCAATAGTGTGGGTCGTGTTGAGGTTCCATAAAACTCAACTTTGTAAAGGATTATTGTTCCTTGTTTATAAGTTATCGGAAGCATTGTAAAGGATTGAATTGCACCATAAGTTAATCAACATAGTGAAAAGGCCTTACTCGTGCCGGAGATCTTGGTAACGGAGGACGTAGATTATTGCTTTGGATCGAAAATCCACAATTATATCGTTTGCATCCTCTCTCCCTTTTAATTATTGTTTTTATACTTGCGTTTATTATCTGAATTTATCAATTTAGTTTTTACTTGCTTTCTTATTCGTGCCTATTTGTTTAATTGACATATTTACTATCATATTGGTTTATATCTAGAATTAATTTTTGAAAAAGTTTTAAAAATCAATTCACCCCCCTCTTGGTTAGTCATTCCTGGGCTTTCACATAACATATGTGATTGAAATGAATTGTTGATTTTGATTTAAATTAAAATCTAAATTTTTATCGGTTAATCCATTTTAGATTATTTCTTATCTCTTGATACCCATTTTTTCTTCAAGTTGCGTAGTGTGATAGGTCGAACAAAATTCCAACTCTATGTGGAAATGACGTTTCATGTTCTGAAATTTCACTCAATCTTCCACCGTAAGGTACCAAAATCATGAGTCTTTATTCTCCACCAAACTAAATAAAATATATTGCAGATTGCTTTCTGTATTTTATTTTTATTTTTATTTAGCCCCTGTTTGAGTCATATTATTTTCAAAAAAAATATATTTTTCAACGGTGATTTGTTATCATTTCAACCACACATTTTTTAATAAAATAATATTAAACACAAATTTAAAACTTTTCCTTATTATTAACCACATATTTTCCAATGATTTGACATCAATAATGCATTTTTTTTCTTATAATGTGGCTCAAACAAATCCTTATTTATTTATTTATTTATTTATTACTATTATTATTATCATCATCATCATCATCATCATCATCATCATCATCATCATCATCATTATTATTATTATTATTTCTCCGTATGGGTTTTCTCACAAAATTTGATTCAGCTTTAAAGAACTTTGGTTTAACTTATGATGCCTTTTTAATAAATCCGAAACAGATTCTCCCATTTTCTTGTCGTCATCGAAATATAGTGCTAATTAAATAGAGATGAGTTCACTGCAATCTTTGGGTTCTAATTTTAGTTGTGGGAAATGGTTGTTCATTATTGGTTTAATGGCCATGTTAAGAATTTATTGGTTCTAATTCTTTGAGTAGGGTTTATTTTTTATTTACTTATTTAATTATAAAATACAAATCTATCATTTTATCTCTCACTTATTTCGTCAATTTGAGTCAAATTTTTAATTTCAGGATTGACTGATGAATTCTATCCAATGAACTCCGACTACAATCGAAGTGAAAACTTTGGGACTACGACTGCAAAAATAAAAGGTTTAGGTGTAGTCTACAACAAATTAAAAGTTTTGCACGCTAGGGTGGGTGGCAATTGTTGGGGCATTTTTTTGGTTTGGGCTTTTTCCATTTTTATGTTTTTTTTAAAAAAATTATTTTTATTATATTTGTATGCAATTATATATAATTTATCATTTTTCCTTGTACAAATAGTTAAAATATAGTCAAAATCACATTTTTAGGTCAATTGACTGCATTTTGATGGAATTGTCCAAAGGGCATCACAATTAAGGGTGACGACTACAACAATTGAGAAACTCGAGAAAACCCTACTAACAATTTAAAGGTTTGGAGCGTTTGCTACAATTATCCATGAGAAATATAACAAATTCAAAATCCAAATTTTGAATAAATTCTATTTACAAATGCTAACTAGTTGTGTTCGAACGATACTGAATTTCACTACGACATAGGTAAACATGAGTTTAAACACTTTCTCAACACATCATCCATCCAAATATGATTTTATAAAACGCGAATAGTACACAAAAGTTCGACCATGAATATCTAAGGAATTAAGAAAGTCAATCAAGTAACAAATAACAATTCAACAATGACTAATTATAAAATATATTGCCATTCTTATTTTTCCACCGGACTCAATCAACCTTCAAACAGACTCCTCAAATTACACAACCAAATTAAAACATGAACTTAAAAGAGACTCATCAAACTGAACAACCAAATTAAAACATGGACCACAATCAACGAGATTCTTTGACTTAAATCACAATACTAAATCCATAGTTTGAGAATGCTTGGACAAAATGTGGATTTGATCATAGCAACGAGGGAAGGAAGCTGAAGTTTGACATACAAGATCAATGGTGTGCAAGAGAGTATGATTATTGGAATGAGAAACAGGTCATTTTGTTTAGCAAATACAAGGAATAACGTAGAACTAAAGGCAATTATTAAAAATATGGAAGAGAGGAGCAACGAAATTAGACCGATTATCACTCTGTGGGGCAAGTCACGAAGATAATCTTGAACTCCATAGCGGGAGGTGAATATGGATAAGAAGGTTAGAACACTAGTGATAGAAGAGAAAAGTGCAAGAGCATCTGAAATGGCGAAGACTTTGAAGGAAGCTTCATTGGAGAAATTGGGTATGCCATTGGTATGGTTTCCTCCAGGTACTTGGAATGCGACAGAAAATGCCACTGTGGCAACAAGTGATGCTGCAACTGAGCTTGCAGTTGCCATTCCTGTCATCCAGTCATTTTCATTTTTAGCCATTTCGGCATGCTCTTCTTCGAAGAGGGTAAATGGTGTCTTCCCTTCTTTATTCCTCGAAGTAGATTCTTGAGGCGTTACAAGATCGGTCACTTTCTGCATCAATTGAGAAATTTGGTCGGAGATCAATTT